CACATTTATATATAAAATTTAATTATTATAATTCATATCTATTCACAGCTGGCGATCGCCTGCTGGACATACCTTGCAAGGTGTGCGGCGATCGCAGCTCGGGCAAACATTATGGCATCTACAGTTGCGATGGTAAGTCTGAGCACTAGTATTCCATTTTAGCCCTTGCTCTATGGTTGATTGTCCGCTTTACAGGCTGCTCGGGCTTCTTCAAGCGCAGCATTCATCGCAATCGGATTTACACCTGCAAGGCAACAGGTGATCTCAAGGGTCGCTGTCCCGTGGACAAAACACATCGGAATCAGTGCCGCGCCTGCCGCCTAGCCAAGTGCTTTCAATCGGCCATGAATAAAGACGGTAAGTGCAAAGGGGCTTTGGGGGCTAGCCGCAAGTCTTTGTTTTGCTAGCCAAATTCATTTAATTATGCAACAAATTAGCCGGGCTTCCTACCCGGGCATAAATTACATTAAACTCAAAAACCAAAAATGCCGCAAGGCACATTTCTCTAGCTGGAGTCTGCACAGCTCACAGGCTGACATGGGAATGCTCCAAGTGCCTTTGCTCCTTTTGTTGTAGTTGTCATTAAGCTGATTATAAATTATGCGGAGCTCTCTCTCACACGGTCTACCCTTCTCTATCTGTCTATCTCTCTCACTTTCTCCATCAAGCAGAAGGCAGACAATTCAAATGACGGCACTTGATTTTTGAACAACGTTTTTTGGGTGTAGTGCATAAATTATGGAAGCGTGACTTTCATTTGCCAGCGAGTCAAGAGCACTGTGGGGTTTGCTTGTGAGTAGAGGTGATTTCAATTAGGCAGTAAAGTGTATGGGAAGGAGACACTGAATTTGATTCTAATCACAATATATGGCAGACTGAATATGTGATCAAAAATTACATGTTGAAAGCTAAACATATATTTTCTTTAAATATGTTTAGCTTTCAACAAGCTAGTCAAAATTCCAAATTTAAATTAGATTTTATTTTTGTATTATTTACATATATTTATATAATAGGGATCTCAGCTGAGGCAAAGAGATCTAGGTTTCAGTATTCAAATTACGCTTAGATCTCAACATTTAATATTTAAGAGATAGATAACTTTCAGAAATTCGAAAGTCCATAATTTATTATTTATTTCATAATTAGTAATTAATAATTATATTAGTTAGTCTTATAAATATTTTTACAAAAATGAACAAATTAATATTAATAATAACAATAAAGTACAAACAAATAAAATAAACAAAAGAATAAAAATAATAATAAATAATAATATAAATTGGCATAGCCTGCTAAATATTTGAAATGAATTGTTGAAATATACCAGAACTATATAATTTATTTAAATTTTAGCCTTAAAATGATGCATTAAGTTTTGACAACTAAATATATCCGCATTCTGTTTTTTCTAATTACTACAGAGTACATCACACTGCAAGATGTTAAATCTGAAAATCTGAAAAAATGTTCTTCAATTTATAGATTATATTCATTATTTTTGTATTTAATGGCCTTGCGATTCATAGATAAATAAAAATATAAAATTTTAATTTTTTTAATGAACTGTCCATAAAAATAAATAGAAATATTAGATAATTAATATTTCATGGGCTAAAAATATATAAATTAGGTATATATATATATATAGAATTTGTTCAGATAGACAAAACTATGAAGTATAAATAATATTTTAACCTTCTAAAAAACAAAGAGCAATGGAAATACATACTATTTATTAGTTTAGTTTTATAGTTATTTTGTTATTTTCTCACATAGACCAAAGCTGACTATAAATTAAATATGGAGTAATTTAATTAAGCAGCAAATGTTTGAGATTTAAACAAATGAAAGTCAACTAAAAATAGAAGATAGTCTGTAGTTCGTAGACTTAAATAATTTGGATTTCTGTTATAAATTTTAAAAGCCAGAGCACTTACCTATCCATGCCTAAACAAATCTCTCAGCTGCTTTTGCCTGCCTCTAAGCCTTTTCTACACGATTCTCTAAAAAACTCTCTACCTTTCTCCACTTCATACACTATTATTGTCCGACAATGGATACATGTAAATGAGTCTCACTTGAGTCACTAAATGATTTGCATATTACGAACATGCTCAACTTTATTTTGGCCATTTGCGATTGACCAAGCCCTACAGACCGCTTCCGCCCATTTATCAAACACCAAACACAAATTGAATAGAACCCAAACTGAAGCGAGAAACGAACAACAACTCAATGCAACAATGCTAGCTTTAAAGCTCTTAAGCCAACATTAAATGTAGCATAAAAACACATGACAACGTCGGCAATGAAAGCAATTCACAAACATCTATGGCTATATCTATGGCTCTATGGCTATGGCTATGGCTACAATTTACCATTTAGCAACAATCATTGATGGGTTCACTGCACAGTACAACAACAACAACAACAATAGCAGCATCAGTAGCAGCAGCAGCCGAGGGGGACGAACAGCGTGAGAATTGTTGCAGATTTTCTCACACGCAATTCGCCTTTGGGTGGGAGTGTCGATTGACAATGTGCACTTAATAGCGGATTACATGCATTATCCCAACGCTGAAAATGCGACTAAAATGTATTGACAATCAAATGATGATACCAAACTCAGACGTCAGACGCCAGAGGTCGGACATCAGGCACCCAGACCTTAGGACCTTAGACGTCAAATGCGAAATATCTGGCTCAGTTTCGAGTCACATGCCCAGAAGATTGTTTTTCCTATTGAATCGAGTAGGGTAGTGGTTAAGACACGCCTTACGGCTTACGCCCGTTCAACTTTCCTGGCCAAAAGAAGGCAGGCTAGGTGACAACAATAGCACAACGGGCAAAAGCACAACAAACAAAAAAAAAAAAAAAATCGAAAAAGGTGGAAGCAAAAATAGACAAACAGTTCGAAAAGCCAAAGATTAGATACACTTATATCTGAAACTTTATAAAGAGTATATATTCCTAAGGATACAATCCAAAAAAAATTAAAATTAATGTT